TTACTCTAGTCACAGTGAGTGTTCTTTACACTTGTCATCTGAAATTATTCCTGCTTTTAATCTACACAGTTTAAAAATTGTGACGGAGGTGATGGCATTTTCTATAAGCCAGCAGAAAAGGAAAAGAAACATTAAAGAAGATGTTATTAAAAGCATATGTCATTGTCACATTTCAGGTCCTGAAGGACATCTGAGACTGTTCTGGAAAAGGCAAATTTCATTCTTGAGAAAGAACAAAATGTTAATTTGCTGTAGGATAAAAATCTACAGTATCTGTTGAATTCACATAACTGAACACTAAGGCAGACCTCTTTAGGTCTAAATTGCAGCTTTCTTCAGCCAGTGAAACTGCACATCCTCTCAGATATCTGTGATACACTTAGTCACATAATCATATTGTGACAGCTTGAAAGGAGGAGGACTCAGAAAATAGAAAAGCAGTTTAAATTCTTATTGAAACAATTTATTTTTGGAAGACAGTGGTATGCATTTTGCAGAAACAATAAAATCCTTTCCCTGAGGAAGCTGATATTTTCCAATGGCCTTTAAGAAAGCTTACATTCATTGAATCATGTTGTTGGCAGGGACCGTGGAAGGTGGCTGAGTTCACTCTCTGCCTGAGGGCCAGTCTACCTGGGCCAGCTCTGAACCATGGTGGAACCTCTTCTTGTGGAGTCTGAGGTTATAATTTTTATTTTCTAATCTTCTTGCTTTGTTTTAAACCTTGATCCATCCACTATTGAACTGGAGAGCGAATTGATCCTTTTATCTTTAAAGCACTTGCATATACCTGATACACATTCATATCAGTACTGCATAGATATGTATGCTTCTCCTACTTTCTCTCTTCAACCTAAATTCCATGTTGTGGGTTTCCTTAAAAATTTTCTTCTAAGTCTGATTTTATATAGATACCTAATTATTCAGATTGTTCTTTTCTGCTCTTTCCATGGGTTACATATTTACTGTCCCACAACTGATGCCAAACAGACCATGGCTACTAGGTTTTCCTAGGGCCATGTAAATAAGGCTGTTTCACAAAGAGTCCGTCCTTCTTTTCTATATTGTTTTATGTGGTTTAACTTTCTCATTGCATTGACATTATCCACTTTTTAAAAAACAGAACTTTTTTTTTTTTTTTTTTCTGCAGAACACCCAGTAGTTCCCCCTTTCCTGTTTGTATAGCTGATCGCATCTGCCACCACCCAGTAGCAGGCACTTATCCCTGTTGAATAGAACCCTCCTTTTTTCCAAACCAAACCACTAGTGTGCGAAAATCCTTCTAAACCCAACATCTGTCCTCCAGCATTCTAAAGACTCTCAGTTTGGTATAATCTTCAGTAATGTAAACATGTTTTCTGAACCATCACTGAGCTCATTAACATCCTTCTGACAACGAGCCGCTTGTATGAGCTCCCTAAATAACTTCTTATACATTGTTTTCCTTGTTTGCTGAAAGAATATAATATGAAACCATGTCAAAAACCTTACTAAAGTGACATCCAACATGAGCTTCAATGGTTCTCCTCCGCTGATGATTCCTCTTACTTTGGAGCAGGAGAGATTATATTTGACATCTTTTGTTCTTGACAAAGCTGTGTTGGCTGTTACTTGTTGTATTACAACTACTTAAAGATAGCTTGTTTACTTGCTCCAGTATCTTTTCTGTGTACTGAGGTCAAACAGATTGGCATGTAATATCCTCTTTCCTTCTTTCTTTTTCAACAATACAGTTTCTCTCCTTCTGTCCTCTAGTATTTGTTCACTGTAAATTATCAATGATAACCATTAGTTTTCATTATCCAGCCCTTTAAATTCAGGTGATGGAAAAGCAGTAAATTATGTTTGAATAATTTTTCACTTGGTTCTTTGATTGTCAAATCTGAAATGTCTTTTTTCCCCAATTATCAATAATGCCTGATATATATATATATATATATATATATATATATATATATATATATATATACGTATGTATGTATAAAAGTAGAAATTAGATACAAAAATATTAAAAAGCTTTACTTTCTCGGTGTTGTCTATTAAAAACTTACAAGATCTGCTTGACAGGGGCATAATCATTTGCTTGATTCTTTTCCATGCCTGGTAGCGTACTTAAAATTATTTCATGTTACCCAAAATATCCCTAACTAGTTGTGTCTCATTTTTTGCTGCCTTTTCTTACTTTATTCCTGCATGATGAGGCTATGCTTTTGTAGCTCCTCCAAGTAACCTGACTCAGCTTCTCTTTTCTGGAACGTTCATTCCTATCTGAGGCTCACCAGGCTGATTTTTACTCTGCCTGTTGCATTTTCTACATGGATAGTTAATTTACTTATACACTTAGTATTGTTTCTTTGGAGAAGTGACAGTTTTTGTCTGCATTAACCTCCCAGAACACCATGTTGACCACTTGTAGGAGTTCATGGGAACCTACCTCTATAAAATGTATTTTTTGGTGTGTTTTGATGTTTTTGCTTTTTTCTAAAATCACAGAATCTCCCTGCAAAAAAATGTGAAGCCACACATTTATATATATACAGATATATGTATATATACATAGGGACATATGTATACATACATACTTATATATAGATGTAGATGCATGTATCTATCTCTCTCTTTGTGAAGAACACTGGGAACTTAAATAAATGCCTGTTTTTTCTGGTATTTCAGTTAAGTACCTACAAAAGAAAATGAAAGATGATGGGCAAGTCACCAGAAAACAAGCTCATCATTCCATTGGAAAATAGAAGCAGTAAGGATTTATTCTTCCTTTTCTAATAATCCTGTAAAGAATTTCTTTGTTTTACATCAGCTATAGCTTGTAGGTGAAGGACACATGTGAAGGCATTATAAATCCATTCCTGGATTAGAAGAGGATGTTAAAAGTTTTCTTCTATTCCACTCTTATTACTGGTGATGTATCTTGCAGACATTTGTTCTTATGACTATTGTTTATTCTGCTTCATCACATCAGGGATCTAAGAAGCAGGATTATTGCTGGCTGGACTTTCTGATTTCAGCCATCAGGGAAAATTACAAGCAGGTATAGGACGGCACCAGCTCATGTTGTTCTGCAACAACAGCTGCAGAAACGGAGATAGGGTGTACCAGTGACTCCCAGGGAACAGATTCCTCAGATGTTGTATCGAGCACTGGCTTGGGTTAAAGAATAGCTTTAAAATATGTTTTCATTTCCTCTGTGTCTCACAGGGACTTACTCTGTGACACTTGGCATGTTTTTGTATGCATCATTACAATGAACATAATCTCTCACTTTCCTGCAAAAGTTCAATATTACAGTAAGGGGGAAATATTTCAAATTAAAAGCAGCGTTCATCTGCATTGGTGATGAGCATAACACACTTCAGACTAAGTAAGGGTTTTTTGTAAGCATGTTTCAGTATTTCCTTCTCTTCCTCTTGTGTATTTTAATTACTTGGATTAGCGTATTTTTACTTGTTTCTTTCATGTTGTCTAAATATTAAATATTTATAATTATGTCAAGGACTCATTTTCCTTGTTTCTAAAGATCCATTTACTGCTTATGAGAGTGTTTAAAGTAAATTGTTAGTAGTATCTTGCAGTATATGCAGTTATAAAGTGGGCTGTATGAATTTCACTGTCATACAGAAGAGTGTGAGGGGGGTTGGGTAGATATTTGGGGTTTCTTTTCTGAGTTTTTTTTTTCATTAAAAGAACTCACAGAATACCACTCTCATGACTTTTGAATAATTTCGCATTTAAAATTTAACTTCCAAGTGATGTTAAACAGTGAAGATGAAAATTGGACACAAACTCCTTTGAATGCTGGTAGCATTTAAAGTATGATTTTTACCAGTTATGTTTATGCCTACTCGCCTCTTGGGGTCTGAATTAAAACGCCCGAAGCTTATAAAACCGGAATGCATCCTCCTAAGAGGCTAAGGAAGAGCTTTTCCTAGAATATTTATAAGCTTAGCTGTCTGCAAAATAACTGTGTGATATTTCCCAAGTGGATATGCAGCGATTATAACCTTTATCACCCGTTAGAAGCGGCTACACGTAACTGTGCGCAGACACCGCGATTCTCCACGTGCGCGCCGCCGGTGCCGGCACCACGGCGGTGCGGCTGCCGCGCGCGGCACCGGCTGCCTCAGGTTTCCCCTCAGCATCCCGTGCCATCGATCCCTCACGCCTTTTCCAGCCGTTCGCTGCTCACACCGAAGTCTCCTACAAAAGCACCTGCTCATCTCGCCCCCCGCACAGCGGTCCCGCTCCCTGGGTGCAGCAGCCACCGCCACCCCCGACCCCCCTCCCTCGCTGCTGCCGCAGCGCGGGGATCCTGACGATGCGGGGATGCCGGCGGGGCGCGGGAATAGCGGGGAGTTGGGGGGATGGCGGCCATGAGGGGATGCAGGCGGGGCGCGGGGATGCCGGGGAGTGCGGGGATGGCGGCCGTGAGGGGATGCCCGCGGCCGGGGATGCCCGCGGGTCGCGCGGCCCCGGGCGGAGCCGCCCCCGCCGCGGCGGGCGGAAGGGGGACGGCGCGGGGGGGAGGCCTCGCGCCCCCGGGGCCGCTGCCGGGCATGCGCGGTGCCCCCGGAACATGGCGGCGGCGTGAGGCGGGCGGCGGCACGAGCGGCTTGACAGGACGCCGCCGACCCGCGCCCCGCTCGCCCGGTGAGTGGCGGCGGCGTTTCCCGCTCTCCGCGGCGGCGGGCAGGGGGAGGGAGGGGCGGAGAGAGAAAGGGAGGCGAGACGGACATCGCGCCCCCTCCTAGGGCTCGTACCGCAGCCTCCGCCCCCCGTGGCCGCCGGACGCCCCCGGTCCTGGGTTCCCCTCCTCGGCAACACCGGGTCCGGCGGGGCTGCCCCGCGCTCCAGCGCCGCTCCTCCTCCGCGCGCTGAACTAACAGCGCGGCGGGTCCCGCCGACCCCGCCCGCGGGGAGCCGCGGGTGGCCGGGTACGAGCGCAGCTGCGAGGGTGAGAGGAGCGGGGCGGCTCTGTGTGCCGGCGCTAACAGCGTGCCTCTCTCTCCGGGGTGGCCGCGACTCCCGGGTAGCAGGAGCTCCGGTGGCACGGGAGGTCCCCGAGCCGCCAATGCCTCCGGGACGAGCGGCGGGGCCGGCGGCGTTTGACAGGAGCGCGAGCAGGACACGCCTCCCCTCGCCGGGGCGGCCCCGCTGCCTCCCCCGCGGCGGTGGCTGCCCGTCCTCCCGGCGGGGATCGTCCCTTCCCGCCGACCGCCAGGGCTGGCGAGGTGCTGGGGACGGGCGTGGACCAGGAAAGCCGGATGCGTGTTAAAAATCATTTAATTCCGAGCGCTCGCTTGTGTTGGGTAAGGGGGCTGGGTGTGCCGCTTGAGGACAGCGCGGTGCCAGACGTGGCCTGTTGTGGGGCACTTGTCGGGTTGCGATGCGCTGCGGCGCTGTTCCCGTTTTCTTTACAGTTAAACTGCGTATGTGGCATGTATTGATTGCCGACTTAAAGGGCGTATCTTGCACGGGGACTCATAATTTTGGATGGTCCAAAGAAAGTAGTTAAAGTAAGGAAAGTTCTGTTGCGGTGTTTTGTGTCGTTGTCGTTAGCTGCTAGGCTAACCTATAAACACAATGCAATGTTGTAGGGTGTATCAATATTGAAGTTAAATTTTATGCTCAAATATTCTTTAGGAGTGAAGGTATGCTTTAAGTGTTAATAAAATTTAAAGTTGGAGTCTTTCCTTACAGTGATTTGCTCTTTCTCTCTGATGAGTTAGACTATAAGAGATAGCAAAATATAATTCTAAGATGTAAAAGGTTTAATGAAAATGGGAAATACTGATATTTTGTTGGGTTCTGGTAATGTAAACTTTGCTTGTGACTCATGTGTATTCTAACTAAAGTAGACAAGGTGATTAAAACTTAAAAATGTAGTTTCTGTAGATATGACAGTAGGTTTTCACAGCATGCTGTGTCTGACTTGTAAACAGATCTAGAAGTTTGACTGGTTATGAATTTTTTATAATACAGCATAACAGTCTCAAACCTTTGGATTTTAAGATCACTCCTGCTCCACCTTACTCTTTGGAAGTGACAGAGCAAAGCAGTTGGTGCGGCAGTCGTGCAGGGTCAGTAACAACTGCAGCACTGGTGCAGATGGGAGCAGTATTGCAGGGAGGCATTAGTTGTGTTACATTTGGGTTTTGGGCTGTCAGTTAACACTACAGAGTAAATAGGGGAGTGAATGCATTGTGCTGCAGCAGCTCTCCACAGGCCACCATCAAGTGCTGCTCCGGCCACAGCAGCCCACAGCCCACGTGAGCGGTTGCACTTAGAGTGTGTCCACAGAAATGCTTTGTACAGCCAGGCTGCGCTTTGGGGGGCAAGGGGAGCTGATTTTCTCCCGTAGGGTACCATGAAATGTAAGTACTATTTAAGGATGATATTACTTGATCTGATGTAAAGAAGAAGTGCACTGGAGACCCTTCAGTTAGTATTTTAGTTATGGGAAGTCACACAGTAATGCAAGTGGGAACTGCAGGAAACAGTGTATGGTGAAACTGAAGTTGAGACTGGGAAGTGTTTCTAGGGCTTTTAACTTTAACATGGTCTGGTCTTGAATGTGAAAATGGAGTTTATTAATTTTGTGTGAAACTCAATTGAAGGAGTTGATGCTGTCTTTTTCTATTTGATGTAAATAGGTAGCAGTATTTGTGTGATATCTTTCAGGTTGCTTGGTATTTTATGTTTTTGTAGTAATGTTCAGATTAAGCAAAAACAAATGTTGGCTTTTCATGACATTCTGTAGGAAAAGGATAAACCACTTCCACAGCAATAAGAGGCCATGTAGATGTAAGAACATAACATAACCAGATTGTTCTTAACATTCAGATATTAATATGTCTTGATGTAGGAATTTTAGGAAACAGGCAACAGCAGTGCTTTAAATATTTTTGTTTTGATTTTGTGTGTTCCTACGTTGAATGTACAGATGCTTCCCCCGCCCCACTTTGCTGTGACTGCTGTTGCTGTGACCAGATAGTGTGCTCTTAAGGCAGAGGCATTGTTTTCTGGAGTAGCTGTTCGCGTTCAAAAGAGGCATTTTGCAAGTGTGAAATTTGTATTACCGAGAAGGTATTGATTCCATTACCTCTATAAAATTTGTGCTACAATGCAGCTCTACATGAGAGAATGTGAAGAAAGAAACTAAGCAAACATAGCTGCTTGTGCCTGTTGTACATAGGTGTCTTTTTTTGTTTTCTTGCCATTTCAATGGGATTGTGAGCTGTGACCAAACCCTGCTTACTCCCTTTGCTGAGTGAACGGGGACAAATGAAGTCCTCAGCAATTATCTACTGCCACTAAATAGTGTCACTAACAGGAAATGACATTTGTCATTAACTGTTCAGGACACTGCAGCTGGCTTTCTTATTCGTGTGGACACATCTACCTCAAACAAGGGTGAGTGAAATACATAGTTATTATTTTCATGTTTTAAGGAAGGCTTTAGAAATATCATTTGACAGTCTATTGTGATATTTTTAAAGTGTAGACATAGAACAAATTACAGGTAGGGACCAGGACACTGCTTCAAGGAGTCTAGACAAGGGAGGTTGTTAACCAATTTTGTGAGCTCCACATCTGTAGGGCATTTAAAGTTCTGTTCATTCCCATTTGAAAGAAATAGCCTTAGGCACCCAGCCTTAGTGCTGATTGTTTTTTTCAGAGATTAAAATCTTAAGTGTAAAGGGCTATACTGTTTGTATTCTCGAAAGTGTAAGATATGCAACATAAATTGTTCAGAATGAGATTTTTCTAGCATGTGGGAAGAGCCAGAACAGCCCATATGAAATTGTCAAAGCATAATAGGGCAGTGGGTAAATAAGAGGCAATGGAAATGTTAAATTTAAAGTTCTAGAATATGTGTTAACATTGTCATACAATTTGATGAATAATTCCTTTTTGCTGTGATTGTGCTTTTGATATATGAGGGTGCTTTCCCTAGAAAATTTGTACATCTTCTTTGGAGATTTCTTATAAGATCCAATTGCCCTATAATTAAGTTTTATAAAGCTTTAATATTAGTTATATGTAGCTAAGTTTATTTTTGCATTGTAACAGTGACTGATAACGTGAGTGTGAGCAGCTTTCCTTACGATGTCTAAGTGGAGGGGCAATTAATTTGTTTGAGGGAAAGACGCTGAAAGACGCTGTGCTTCTGTGCAAATACTATTTTTGTATCTTCATGCCCCTGCTGGCTGGCTTGATGTGTATGGGCAGTGAGGGCTGAGGTGCGTGCCCAGCTCCTGCTGCAGTGCTGGCCATGGAGCAGCAATGCTGCCTTGCTCCTGGGAGCAGCAGGAGATGATTTGGCGAGTCACCTGCTCAGTCCAGATGTGTTTCTGAAAACTGATCACATTGCCGAAAACTAGTGTTCTGTATCTGTGGTCTCTTCAGGTAGGTTACCATCTTTCGGGGTGGGAAGGGTGGCTTCAGGTACCTAAGCCAACAGTGATCAGTCTCCCTTTTTATCTGCAGCAGATCTGTACACAAAGAGTAACTGGTGCATAAATGGTGCTGATGACCATGGGGGAGGTACTTTTATCTCGTCTTTCTGCTTGGTCAACAACAGTGTAGGACTGGAGGAAAGTCAGGAGCTGCCTCATAACCATTCAGAAAGCAGCAGCTGTCTCTATTACCAAAGTTATGACATTTATTTATTTGGGCTTGCTGTGATAGTTTCTTTTATATACAATGGACATTTGGTGTAAGTGCACACAACTAAACCATTTGCTGTAGAGTGTATATAATGTGTTACATCCTTAGCACTGTGTGTCTGCAGGGATGTGCAGCGTATGAGCCCTTAGCAACTCTCTGCCCAAGATCCCTGTCAGAAAAAGTAGCAGCTTTAGTTTCTATGTCTTTTGGATAGGATCAAAAATTCATTATTTTCTTATCTTGGATCTAAATGAAGTGCAGATTTCTTTGTGATGTTAAGTGCCATGTCACTTTTGTTTCAGCAGTCTTGTTTCAAGACTGGTTCATAGTTCCAAACTTCAGCTAAGGCACCTGCTTTATGGGCAGTGGTTGATGAGTTTGGATCCAAGCTGGTGCAACACCGATGCTTGTTGTGGTTCCTAAGTGTGCTTTCTTCCTGCTTTTCTGAATTACCTGCAGAGCCTAATGTCAAAGTGTTTCTGAAATACTGCACCTTTAGCAGAAATTTAGTACTCTTTCATGTGATTTGGCAGGATGATAGCCTTTCTGCTTCACAGGTAGGAAGGATACTGTCTACATATCTTATGTCCAAACTAATCCTAAAGTACATTTTCTTTTTTGGCTTTGTAAGAATAATGCGGTATCCAGTTTAAGCATGAGCAGTGTTTTGGACTGATTACTGTTTTGGTTTTTTTTTAACCCATAAGTGGTTTATATTCTTAATATTTGTATGTTGTCATCTAAACCAAAGTAAAATATTGTATTAAAGGTGGATATGCTGTTTAGATAATTTTATTCTAGGCCTTCAACTTCAGAAATCAGGTCAAATTCTATTTAAGATACCAAGGGGATTCCGTCATTTTCCTTTCCATCAATTTTCATAAAAGGGATGAACTTCTTTGATGGAAATATAAGTCAGTTGTCTTCTCAAGGTAATATGAGACTCCTTTTAGTGTAGGGCAAAGATGAGGTTGAGCCTTTCATCCTCTACCATACATTAGTGCAGGGAGCAGCTGAAGTTTATAAAACCTGTAAGAGAGTAGCACCATTTTAATGAGGTGCATACCTAAAATGAAGCATGTACCATTATTTATGTACTGTGTGGAATATATCAGAGATTAATGCAGGCAGGTTCAGTGGAAGGAGTGCAGTTTGTGGGGCACTTTTAAAAGCCCACTTAAAAAGGGCAGTTTGTAAAACTGAGTCTTGTGCATGGAGGAATGTGAAAGGGTATCAGAGCTGCTAAATTTGGTGGAACTCTTTATTGTCACTAACGTCTGTCAGGGGCTCAGAGATTAAAAGGGCTGCTGCATGTTTGATGGTGCTTCCCCTACCAAATCTTCCCTCTCTTGTATGTGTATCCTGTACTGAAGGGTTGTAAAGAGGCAGAGAGTGTTTTTTTGGGAAGGTTAGATGATAGGAACTGGTTTTAATTCCAAAATAATCAGTGTTATGGTTAGATGGAAAACTCTGAATATAGTTTGTAATTGTTTTTTAGCTTGTTGTAGGAAAATACTACCTAGTCTGAATATTTCTGGTGCTCAGTGGTGTAAGCAGTAGGTGGAGGAAAGGGGGGCTTGCCTTCAGAAAGGGGATCTCCAGAAACGGCAGAAGGGGGGATACTCTGCCACTGTCCTGG